TTAACATATATATATATATATATATATATATATATCGATTGATTTTGTTGATTTATTTTTTCAATTGTCACGTAATTAAAAATATGCATGTATTTGATGTAAATAAAATATATATAGTTTTATATATATAACGGATTCAAATTTCCCTTATAGAATAATGAAAAGGAGTTAAAAAAAAGTAGAAAAAATGAAAGGGTTAGCAATTAATGTGTTGATTGTATATTAAAAATAAATCAAAATTATTAAAAAAAAAAATGATAAAAAGCTTCTCATTAAACAACCTTTTAGTTCTTTCTTTAATATATATCTAGATTTCTTTCAAAACATTGGATAAAACTAATAAATAATAACCTATGTCCTACAAGGAAATTCGAGATAAATAATTTTAATTGAATTTCTAATTAAATTCATAACCTTCTAAATTATAAATATATAAAAATGATTTTTTATGACAAATTAAAATATAACGTCATTAAATTGACTTTTGTCCTTTAAATACTTAATTTTTATTTTTGTTCTTTAAATTATTGGTAAATTACTTTCTTTCATATATAATAATAACACGTTTTTTTTTCTACATTGACTTTTGTTCTACTATTTTTATTTTGTCTATTTTAAAATATTATATAAAACGTGTTGATACATTATTTTGATATATTTGAAAATTACGAAATATGTATTTTAGTAAACGAGGTGCTATTTTTGACAGGTTCCAATAATTATCAAACTTCAAAACTATGTCTAAAAAATATGTTACAAAATATCATATTTAAGTAATGCTTGAAAATCAGAGTCCCTAACAATTAAAAAAACTTGAATATGACCATCAAGTTATAACAATACACACATGTTAACATATATATATATATATATATATATATATAGAGAGAGAGAGAGAGAGAGAGTTGGGTTCACGTGAGACAAAGGGATTTTCATGAGACCCGTAAAACCAATTTATGTTCATTGATCAACTTTATAAGTTAATGATCTAATGGTCTAAAGTTGCACGGTGACAATTTTGTGATTATTGAGAAGTCTCATGGCAATTTTATGATTATGAATGTTCATATTGTAGATCTAATCCAATGGTTGAGATTTGGTCTTACGGGTCTCACGAAAAAACTTTAGTCTCACATGATTCCAAGTCTCTCTCTCTCTCTCTCTCTCTCTCTCTCTCTCTCTCTATATATATATATATATATATATATATATATATATATATATATATATATATATATATATATATATATATATATATATATATATATATATATATTAAAGAAACAACCAACGGGTAATGAGATGGCTTAATGAGCTTTGAATATTCATCAAATCTTAAAATGTGACTTACAAGTTGGTTGTTTTCATCATCCCTCTTGATATGAAAATCAAAATTTATAGTACACTTATTGTGTGCCCACTTAATTGCATTTTTTAACCGTTTTAATAAAATTTTGTTTTAAAACAACGTTTATAAGTTAAGTTATAAACATAATTTCTACATACAAGCATCATAATAATAAAGCAGTGTCAATGGTATTGTGTCACAAATAAATCATTCATCAATATCAATATATGTATATTAAATGAGAAACCAAAGGTAAGTGATATGACAAAATGAGGATTGAGTATTTTTAAATATTAAAGGTGATTGGTTTTCTTCGTCCTATATTGATGAGTAGATGGAAAATTGGAAGTAGAGAGTCAATATATGAAAGAAAAGTGAATATATTTATGTCAAATCATGAGGTTGACCCAATTTGGCTCACCCTCTTTTTGCGAAAAAAATGTTTATATACATAATTTACAAAATATTTTTGTATTAAGTAATAGAGTTGGTTCATTTTTAACTTTCCTCTATTTTTGCAAAATTTCTATTCATATTAATTTTTTATATATAAGTTGACTTTTATATCAATTGGTTTTTATTTAGATCAAATATATTATATGTTCTTAGTTTGATGTCTAATATATGATTCTTCAGCTTACTTGGTATTTTATTTTTTATATGCGAATGCCCATTATACTAGTTGGTGATGTAGTTATTTATTCATTGTCTTGGACTATCACTATCAAGGTTTGACGCACATCTCTAATTTAAAATTCAAATATTATAGAATGTTATGGTAAAGTGTAGTATTTGTTTTTATCAGTTTAATTCTGATATGTGGGTTATCGACCCCACTTGATATTAATTTTATTGTTTTTTGGGGGAACATCCATTATCTTAGTTTAGTGATGTGGTTCTTCATGTATTGTCTTGAGCTTCCACTACTGTTGCTATATATTATGCACCGCTCAAATTTACACTAATATTATAGAATGTTTTTATCATAACTTCAAATGAGATTTTAACTAAATTTGTTATAAAAATTAAAATTGCGATTTTATCACCTTAGATGAGATTTCAATTAAAACTGTGATTTCAAGTTAAACAAACTACTAACATTAGTCAAACATTTGTAGAGTACATTGCAACACCGTTCTCGAGCATTGTTAGAGAACTTATATTAACATACGGTTCTAAGATTGTTGTCAACTTTTCTTAAAAACTCTTAATGTTAATGAATAGATGCCACACACATTTTCCCAAAATTTGTCTTAAAAAGCACTTCAAATTTTAGTCTATAACATTCCTTTTAAAGATGATATTATCGTCACTGTGCAATACACGATTGCAACACTAGTTTTTATTTAAACTAAATCATACATGCAAACTTTTGGCTAGTGTGGTCAAAAGAGGGGCCTGGGGTGGTAAGATTGAGAAGGGAGAGTTAGAAAATAGATAACTAGGTCTCACGGTTTTAAGATAGGTAGGGGGCGCTTGTACTTCGGGTTCTTAAGAGTCGTTTTTTTAGCAAGTTTAGTCAATGTGGGGTCTTCTATCTTTAATGGTTTAGTTGTTTACTACTTTTTTTTACGTCATTAATGTTCATATTTGTTTTAAATTTTTTTTTTCTTTTGTTCATTGTTTGTACTTGCTTTAATTTATCTACTTGTGCTATTTTTATGTGTCTTGTTCCCATTCCGAGTTTGCCTCAAGTTGTGCTCATCGATGCCTGATTCTGAGATGTGGATCATCCAAGGCACATTAGCACCGTCAAATCCCAGGGTTCAACTCTGAACAAGTGGTAGAAACTAGGATACCTATCGAGAAGTTTTCGGAACTCAATCATTTTAACTCTTTAAAAACTCTGTTTCTTGTATTATATACATGCTTGGTAGCTTAGGACTCCAAAATCTAAATCCTTTTTTAAGAAAAAAGAAAATCACAACAAGGAGGGAACATTATTGTTCTTATTTCGTGTTTCAAGCTTAAAAGTGCTTCAAATTAACACCCTAGACAAGGACCCATTAAGTCAATCATGTGTCTCTCACATAAGGGGCCGTTTGCTAAACAGTTATCCTGTAAGTACTTACTGGGTAATTTTTTTTACCGGATGAACATGACAACGGTCAAAAACCTTACCCGGTAAGAACAATGATAAAGATGAAGAGTCTTAGGGGCCGTTTACCAAACACTTACCCGGTAAGTGCTTACCGGTAAAATTTAACACTATTATTTATGTATCGAATAAGATTTTAGTCTACCAAAACGACATCGTATGCAAGAATTTATCCGGTAAGCAGTTGTCGCCCTCACTTACTGGGTAAGATTCATGGTCCCTGTCTCGCTCTTACCAGGTAAGATTATTGGTCCTTACCATATTCATTCGGTAAGGTAACATGACATGGTAAGCGCTTATCCATGTAAGTGTTTGATAAACGGCCCTTACTCGGTAAGTGAGGATGAAGACTCTTACCCGGGTAAGTACTTACCAGGTAAATTGGTGCATACTATACCATTTTGGTGTACTACAATCTTACCCGATAAAATAAATTACAATATTGACTTCTAAAGGTAAGCGCTTATCGGGTAAGCATTTAGGTAAATGCCCCCTAAGTCTTAGAAACCAAAACGCGACAAAGGACATAGTTCAGTATTTTTCTGATTGATTAGTATATAACATGGGGTGCCATAGACATAACATGGCGTGAGACACAAACCTTAAGCTACGGCGTGCCACGATGACTATTGTTGTGAGCTTTTTTTAACACTGTTACCAAGTCATGTTACCTTACCTGATGAATATGTAAAGGATCAAGAATATTAGCCGGTAAGAGCGAAGACAAGAATCAAAAGTCTTACCATGTAAGTGATGACGACGACTCTTACCATGGTAATCGTTTGGTAAACGATCCCTAATATACTTTTTTGAGGGAGTTATGGAAAAGTAAAACAAAATGTAAACCATGATGATGGAAAAACCATTTTTAAAGACCAAGAACAAAGATCGTAATAAATAACAAATTATAAGAATGAAAATCGTATTTACTCAATTACAAATTGAGGGTTGAGTTCTGGTGGGAAGGGAAGTTATGGTGAGAAGGGTAAGAAGAGATCTCCACCTAGTGGTGTTCAAAAAAACTGTCGGAGCGTTCAAATTGGTCGGGCCAAGTAAATCGAACCGTTTATGGTGGTTTGAGCGATTTGACGGTTCGATCTGGTTTGAAAAATAACCAAACCACTCAGTCAGGTCTGGTTGCTGATCTGAGCGTTTTTTTGAGCAGTTTGGACCGAAACGAAAACCAAAAATACACATGTATTAATTATATTTGGTTTTATGTTGTAGGCTCAACTTTTATGGTACAATTAAAAAAATTGTCAAAGATATTATGTTTTTTGTTTTCGTTTCTCAATTGACTGTGCAAGGGTGGTGTCTGATTGATTTGAGCTTCGGCTCGGAAGGTCAAAAGTGTATGGAGGTCTTAGGTTCGAAAGTCGAAACCAAGGAGGAATAAGAACCCCTGTGTTCCATGAAGGTTCAAATGCAATGACTCCGGGCTACACGGAAAGCGGGTGGTCATCTTGAGATTAGTTGGCTCACATAGCGGGTTGGATATTCAGGTTAATAAAAAAATATATTTAAATTGACAAAATTCCGAAATCCATCAAAAATCAAATCCGAAATTCAAAATTGTCCATCGGATTGCTCAATTTTGTCCAAAATTCCAACTATTATTGGCGGACTTGTTTAACTTTTTTTTTTTTTCCAACTTGCTCAATGTTTTTCTAATTCTAGAGATGAGCATTTCTTTTATAACTTAATATACTATTTTTTTAATAATGTTATATTGATAGAATTTTTTTTTTTAATATAGATGTTATGTGTTTTTAGTGTAAAGCCTATAAGAGGTCTAAACCGTCCAAATGACCGTCCATATCGTTTTTTTGTGTTCCAATTTGATCAGTTTGTAACCATTCGGTTTGAAAATTTCCTAAACCGCTCGTTATTTGGTTTGTGGTTTGGAGGGTTAAACTACTCAAATCGGAACGTGAACACCCCTAACTTAGATCAATCATAATTGAAGATCATGACTAAGGGGTTGTTTGTTTACCTCTTAATAAGAGGCAATCTCTGAATCGTTAAGAGGTAAATCTTGTTTGGCAAAAAAAAGTCTGCCTCTTAATGGTTCTAAAATCCTCTGAATAATTTTATATCATAGATCTCCCTTAACCATTAAGAGCCCTAATTTCATTATACACAATTACTAAATAATTATATTTCATTTTGCACTATATTATGAGAGCTTTTTAATCATTCTGACCACTCAATCATTCTGCATCAAACTATTCAACAATTACCAAATAGTCCCTAATAAGAAAAGCAAGATCAATTCCCTTCTATAATATAATTTATGGATAAAGAATATCACTTCTTGATACTTTTTACCTTTTTAACTCTCCCTCAAATGATTTTTCGCCTATATAAATATATTTATATATATAAGTGTCTTCTTCAATGGTTTTTTCTTTCTCTAAACAGACGACATAAAACCGGCGTCAAAAGAGTTCACTAACCAATTCGAAAGCCACACGCACAAAAATATATTTTTTCCCAGGAAGACAAAGCGCCACCGGAAAAAATGACGACGCCGTCGTCAATGGGCCTCCTTTCTTTCTTCGTTTTCGTCGTCCTCACCTCCGTCGTAAGCTCACAAAACTTCTCGACTTCCGAGCGATCCACCTTGCTTAACCTCAAGCAATGGTGGGGGAGTCCGCCATCACTAACAAATTGGAACTCTAACTCATCACCATGCAGCTGGCCGGAGGTTCAATGCCGCAACGGCTTCATCATTGGACTGCAACTTGAAACCAAGGAACTTACTGGATCTATGCCGCCGTTTATCTGTGATCTCCGGAACCTAGAAAGCATGTTTCTCCATGATAATTTTCTCACTGGAGAGTTTCCTAGGGTTCTCTATAATTGTTCGAAGCTGATTGAGCTGGATATCTCACAGAACATGTTCGTCGGAAGGTTGCCGGACGACATTGACCTGTTATCGCAACTCATATCTGTTGAATTTGGAGCTAATAACTTTACCGGCGATATACCTCCGGCTATCGGAAATCTATCAGGGTTGACTTCGTTGCTTTTGTATCAGAATCTGTTTAATGGTACTATACCCCCGGAGATCGGAAACTTATCCAATCTGGAAACATTAGGTATGGCGTATAACGAATTTGCAGCTCCAGAGATACCGCCGGAGTTTGGAAAATTGAACAATTTGAAGATTTTGTGGATGCCGGAAACAAATCTAGTCGGTAAAATACCAGAGTCGTTGTCGAATTTGGTCAACCTCAGATTGTTAGATTTGAGTTTGAACAATTTGGAAGGTGAAATTCCTCCTAGATTGTTCCTCCTTACGAATTTGGATAGTATGTTCTTGTACAAGAATAGATTATCCGGCAGAATTCCATCGGTGATCGAGTCTCTGAATTTGACTCAAATCGATATCTCCATGAACAAATTAAATGGTTCAATTCCTGATGATTTTGGCAAATTGCAGAAACTGGAGGTTTTCAATCTGTATTCAAATCAATTTTCAGGACGGATTCCAACCGGTATTTCTCAAATTCCAACACTAAGGATCTTCAAAGTCTTCAGAAACAATCTCACCGGAGAATTGCCACCGGAGTTGGGGCTTCACTCCAAACTTGAATCATTTGAGGTATCGGAGAACAACCTCACCGGAAAGTTGCCTGAGAATTTGTGCTCCGGAGGTACTTTGTTAGGGATGATTGCTTTCTCAAACGATCTCACCGGAGAGATTCCTAGATCACTCGAGAGCTGTGACGGGCTTACCACTATCCAACTCTATGATAATAACTTCACCGGTGAGATTCCTTCAGGAATTTGGACACTATTAAATATTTCAAGTTTGAGGCTCACCGGAAATTCATTTTCTGGCGAGCTTCCTAGTAAAATTGCTTGGAATTTATCTAGATTAGAGATTAGTGACAACAAATTTTCTGGTCAAATTCCTGCCGAAATTTCTTCTTGGGTGAAACTCAATGTGTTCAAAGCTAGTAATAACTTGTTTTCCGGTGAAATCCCACCAGAATTCACGAGTCTTTCGGAGCTAACCATTCTTTATCTCGACGGAAATTCACTCTCCGGTGAATTCCCATCAGAGATCGAGTCTTGGAACTCGTTAACCATTTTGAATCTGGCCGGAAACAAACTTTCTGGCCGGATTCCATCATCTATCAGTTGGTTACAAGATCTTCTCGAACTTGATCTATCAGAAAACCAGTTTTCCGGCCAAATCCCACCACAGTTGAGCAATCTGAAACTCACCAGTTTGAATCTATCTTCCAACAAACTCACCGGAAAAATCCCTTCTGCTTTCGATAACATGGCATATCAGAACAGTTTCCTTAACAACCCTAACCTCTGTTCTACTTCCCCAATCTCAAACCTCCAAACCTGTTTAGCCAAATCCTCAAACTCGAAGAAATTTCCCCCCAAAATCATAGCCATGATCACCATTTTATCAACATTTGTTGCAATCGTCGTTGTCCTATTCACGATGTTTGTTTTCAGAGACTACCTAAAGAAGAAACGCAAACGGAATCCCACCACATGGAAACTGACCTCATTCCATAAGTTGGACTTCACCGAATCGAACATTTTGTCGTGCATGAGTGAAGGCAATGTGATCGGTAGCGGCGGTTCAGGAAAAGTGTACCGGATTGAGGTCGGTCAGCCACGGGGTTACGTTGCCGTGAAGCGAATCTTGAACAACAAGAAACTCGACCAAACTCTAGAGGACGAGTTCTCATCTGAGGTTCAGATTTTGGGTTCCATCCGCCACTCCAACATCGTAAAACTACTATGTAGTCTCTCGAGTCACAACTCGAAGCTTCTAGTTTACGAGTACATGGTGCACCAAAGTCTCGACAAATGGTTACATCAAAAGAAGAGGAAACTGGAGGCGGGTTCAGTTCCACGGTTGACTTTAGACTGGCCACGACGGTTGCAGATTGCAATCGGCTCAGCACAAGGTCTTTGCTATATGCACCACGATTGTTCGCCCCCAATCGTGCATAGAGACGTGAAGTCGAGCAATATATTGCTGGACTCCGAATTCAAAGCTACAATTGCTGATTTTGGGCTGGCAAAGATTTTGGCCAAGGAGAAGCCTGGCGATGCTAATATGTCTTCCATTGTTGGCTCCATGGGTTACTTCGCTCCTGGTAAATATTCTTTCTAAAACCATTTAAATCCATTCATTAGAAAAACAAAACACTAGAAACATTAACCCTCCTTGAACATTAAAAAGAATTCAGTTTCAATCAGACTGAGAAACATATTTTAATAATAAATAAACATATTTACGTATTATAATATTATCTTATTAAAACTCAATAATATTTTCTATAATCAATTGCTTCATCCTTAACATAATTTACTTAATGATGTATTTTTAAATTTAAAGAAATTTTAAATTAATAACCTATATTATGTGTTTTTTAAATTTTTGTTAATGAAACTTATTTTATTAAATATGTATCTTTAAATTTTTTTGATAAATCTTTTGATTACTAATGTAAATATACCGGTAGTTTGGGATCGTACTTTAAGACATGTTATCTCCGTCTGTAGTTATGTAATTATCTTTTAATAAATTTTATTAGCTGTTCTGTTTTATATAATACGTTGTTTTTTTTAAACCAATTGTGGCATTTCCCGTCTTTAACCACGCGAAACGGGGATGATACAAATTTATCACATTTTCTTTATGTTTATTTTTAGTTTAATAAAAAATTAAATTTTAAAACCACATAATAAATAAATTATTAAACATAATACAAAATATCAATTAACATTTTAAATATCAATATAGAGTTGGGTTCACGTGAGACAAATGTTTTTCGTGAGACCCGTAAGACCAATTTATGTTCATTGATTAACTTTATAAGCTAATGATCTAATGGTTTAAAATTGCACGGTGACAATTTTGTGATTATTGAGAAATCTCGTGACATTTATGAATGTTCAGGTTGTCAGATTATAAATCTAATCCAAAGATTGAGAATTTATTTTACGAGTCTTACGAAAAACCTTTGGTCTCACGTGATCCAAAATCTATAAAAAGTTAATATATTAATAATATTTGAAATATAGAAACAAACAAAATGAGCTTTAAATATAGAAGTCAAATTTGGCGGTCTCTATTTTTTTAGTGTTATGATTATGGGTCAGACTAAAAATGACCTTCATTTATATCTATTTGAAGTTTAGAGTGTAATTTAACATTTTCTGGTCAATCCTTGACCTTTTGAATTCAAATTTAAATGGTTTTGTTATTGGGTTAAATTGGAGCATGTAACGAAGTTTGATCTGATCTTTTATTTTGTATAACTATTTATTTTCGTATTTCAAACATTTAGCGTAAAGTGTATTATACAAAACATAACTTTAGATAAATTAAATATTTAAATATTTGGGATGTCATATCTAAAGTATAAAATAAAGGTTTTTAAAATATGTTACACAAAACATGAATCGTTGATGTCATATCCAGGGCATCAAAATGAAAGTTGTCAAAATATGTTACACAAAATAGGAATTAGATCAAAATCGTTGCATTTTCTTGTGATCCGCCTTGTTAGTTATAAATACACTATTTGGTCATCTTAGGGGCCTTTTACCAAACTTTTACCCGGGTAAGCGCTTATCAAGTCACATTACCTTAGCGGATGAATATGATAAGGACCAAGAATCTTACTCGGGTAAGAGCGAAACAAGGACCAAGAGTCTTACCCGGTAAGTGAGGACGACGACTCTTACCACAGTAAGCGCTTACCAGGTAAATTATTGCATATGAAGTCATTTTGGTGAACTAAAATCTTACCCGGTAAGGAAATGATAGTGTAAAATTTTACAAATAAACACTTACCGGGTAAGTATTTGGTAAACGGCCCCTTAGTCGAATTAAATAACATAAACCATCAATATAAATTACTTCCAAATAGGGAATTCATTAATCCCTCAATAATTAAGGATGAAATTGTTATTTAAATAATCAAAACTTGTAATAATTACACATTTTTAAAACCGTTAACTGTTCATTTTTTTTAAAAAATGGTCTTTTTTCCAATTTTGTCTTTAATTATGAAAGTAAAATTCATTATTTCCTTTATTATTAAGAGTAAAATTGTTATTTTGTTAATTAATAAATGTAATAATTACAGACGTATGAAACCATATATTATTTTCATTGTGGACATCTATTTTGAAATGGATCTCTTAGTTAAGTTATTTCTTTAACCGTTCTCTTGTCTTGAATTGGTTGCAGAGTACGCTTACAACACGAGAATAAACGAGAGGATAGACGTATATAGCTTCGGTGTTGTACTACTTGAACTTGTGACCGGAAAAGAAGCTAACGAAGGAGAGGGAGATTTGAACCTAGTCGAATGGGCATGGAAACGCTACGGAGAAGGGGAGTCGGTGGTTGGAGCATTGGATCCAGAGATCAAAGATCCTGATACTTACATGGAGGAGATGAGCAGTGTGTTTAACCTAGGACTCATATGCACTAGCACATTGCCTTCGAGTAGACCATCGATGAGAGATGTCCTTGAGATTCTTCGAAGATGTAATCCGTTGGACGAGCTCCCAGAAGAAATGAAAGAAGGTAGAGAAGAGTTTGATGTTGCACCTCTTCTTAAGAGGGAAAGTTATATCACCCATTATGATGCTAGGGGTAAGGACGTTTCCGATGATACCCAAGTGTGAACAAATTTGGCCCGAAATGAAGTATATATTCTAGTGTTACAGCAAGTGTTGGAACGTGAATGGATTGAAGATCTGAAGATGCAGATGAGGGCATATGATTTGTGTTAGAAAATGATTGTAGAAAATGATAGAGGGAATTAGATTATGATGTAATGAATAATCACCCTTAGGCGGTGTTTGGTTCACAGATTCTAAGGAATCTGATGGAATTGGAATGTTGAATTCCATTGACCAAATTTCATTCCCTCGTTTGCTTCATTCTTTTTCACGAAAGAAATCTTCAAAATCCTACAAATTCCACAAATAAAGGAATTTAACATTCCTTAGCAACTACATGATATTTTGATGAAATGGAATTCTCTATCTTTATAATACAAAATATGCCCTTAACCCAATATACCCTAATCCCATAAAACCTAATATGACCATCGTCGACAACCTCCAGTCATCGTTAATCTGAATCACCGCCAACCACCACCATTTGAACAACCGCCGACTACCACCAATCTTAATCACCGACGACCACCACCGATCTGAACCACCACGGACACTACCAATCTGAACCACCGTCGGCCACCGCCGATCTGAAACCACTAATCTAATCGACCGTCGATCTGAACCACCGCCAATCACCGCCATCTGAACCACCATCCCTCACCACCAATCTAAACCTGTCAACCATCGCCATATGAACCACCACAGACCACCATCGATCTGAATCACCGCCAACTACTACTGATCTAAATCACCTCTAGCCACCGCTAATCTGAACCACCGCCGATCTGAACCACCGTCGACCATCATTGATCTGAACAACCACCTATCTGACCCATCACCGATCTGAACCACCTCTGATCTGAACTACACTCGACCATCGCCACCTGAACCACCACGGACCACCACCGATCTGAACTACTGCTGACCACTTACAACAACCACCGATTTGAATCACCACCGGACACCGCCGACCACCAACGATCTGAACAACTATCGATCTGAACCACTGCCGATCTGCCACTGCTGACCACCTTTATCTGAACCACCATCTACCACAATTGATTTAGTAACGTCGTTTGACTTATGGTTATATTGGGTTGTGTATTTTATGTTTTTTTACATGTTAAATAATTATTTTATTAAAGTATTTTTAGTTTTAGAAAAATTAAATTTTTAAAAAAGGGCATTTTGGTCATTTACCAATATTTCATTCCAATTCCAAATCTACATTATATGAACCAAACAGACAGATTCCAATTTCTTAACAAATTCCATTCCAATGTCTGCCAACCAAATAGGTGGTCAAACCTGACAACATTCCATTCCAATTCCTTCAACGTCAAATTCTTTTAACAGATTTTATTCCATCCAAAAACATTCTGCAAACCAAACGCCACCTTAGGATAATATTAGGTCTATTATATTATGTGTTGGGTTAAGGCTCATTTACCTTTATGATGGCCTAATCTTAGATCTAGGACACAACAAATCCCAATACATGCATGAACATCAATTTGCATAAATGAAAGAGGAGAAGAAAGATTTCATTTGCAGCCGTGATAGGTTTGTATTTATAGGCTTGGGTTACACTTTTTAATCATAAAAAATGTCATTTGATCTTATCCAAGAAACCAACAAAAGAAACTATAAAAAAAATGAAAAAAGTGAGTTATACGGGTTTCCCACGACCAAGACCATGTGAGAAGTCGCATCACTTACTATATTGAAAAAATTAAAAAATTCAGTTTATTGGAAATCATGCGCCTGTGCTAGGGCTATCTTTTGACCCATTAAATATACATTATGTAAGTCCAAATCAAGTATAATTCAAGCCTAAACTCTGTAAATAAGGCATGTGGTGATGGCCAAGCTGGCCTAGGCCGGTCCGGGACCACCGGAGGACTGGAACCGGGACCAGTAAATGACTAGCCCAGCCAGGGATCGGTTATAGGACCGCAGCCGGTTGCTGTTTTGGAAGATTTTGAAGGACCGGACCTACCGGGACCGGTTATGGGCTAGACACGGATTTTCAAAAATTATAGCCGTTTTTTTTTAAAATATAGCCGTTTATGACCGTTATTTGACCATTTTTTTTTGTATTTTTTGCCTTCTAAACCCTATATATAAGTGTCATGGTTGAGGGATTTACATACCAACTTACAAAATGCCAAAAACGCAAAAAAACGTTCACAATTCTCGGTTTCTCGCTATATTTTATGACTTCGACTCGTTTTCATTTCTCTCTTCCCCTTCCCAATTCTCATTTCTTTCTCTCTGTGTCTTACAAAATTGTCGGTGAACAACATGATGTATCAAACGAACAAGTTGCACAAATTCTCCTTGAATACAGACGAAAGTCCGAGATTTGAAATTCATACAACTTGGTGGTCCTCACGAACGGGAAAAGAAAGGCACAATGCAAAATGTGCCGAGCTCTCTTTACCGCGAAAGAAAAATTCAACTTTAAGAAGGCACACCGAAAAAACATACCCGGGGTTGAGGTCGGGGGGTGATTCAAGCCAACCGATACTTAACATTCAAGGTCAAATATGGTTGTTTGATGTCGATTGAACCAACAAATGACAACACAATGTGTCATTCAAGTTGGCTTGCCTTTCGAACATTTCGACAACCCTCACATTACGAAGTTGATTAAAAAAACACTACAACCACGATACAAGCCGGTAAGTCGTCAAATCTTTATATGTGATGTGATTAAAATGTGGAAAATGTGTCGAGGTGAATTGCAACAAATGTTTGCTCTTTTGCGTAACAACATTTCTTTAACGTGTGATGTACGGAGCGCACCATATTGCCAGTTTCTTATATATGCATAACTGCACATTTGATTGAGCCCTCATCATGGCATTTATTCAAACGTGTAATCGCGTTTGAACCGTTTGGTGTGCCATAATCGGGTGCACGGTAATTTTCAATTATTAAAAAATGTCTTGCATTTTATAATTTAACTACTAAAATAGTTAGCATTTCATTTGATAATGATAGTAATAGCAATCTATGTATGGAAATATTAAAGTGTCATTTGACACCTATTTTAAACGGTAAATTATTTCATACACGTTGTTGTGCACACATAATAAATTTAGCTCTTCAAGAACGTTTAAATACTTGTAAACCTAGATAAGTTTATACTTATGTTGCGGCGATTTTTCACAAAGGGTAAGAAAATGAATGCAAAATATAAAAAATATTGTGAAGACGTTGTTTTAAAGCTTTGGAACCGAGGTTTGATATCCCATTCGATGGAATTCGACTTATTTATGATTGAAAATTTGATAAAACAAAAAAAATTATATTTTTTCATTTTATAAACACCATTACCCGCAAAATTCTATTGAAAATCTTAATTGGGCCGTGGTTGAAGGATTGTACGATATTTTAGGCGATTTTAAAAATGCGACAACACTTTTATCCGATATTTATCATCCAACAAACCATTTACTTCTAAATCAATTATATATTTTGGCAAGTAAAATTGCACAATACGAATATCATCACAATTGGGGAAGGTTGATGACTTCAATGAAAAAGAAATTGTTAAAATATTTTATGAGCATCCCATTTGCTTTTTTTTGTGCTGCGGCGTTAAACCCGTATTTAAATATTATCAGTGTTGAAGTTTTAATTACACAAATATGTATGCCCTTTGGTTTAGATACGACTATGAATAATTCTTTTTCAATGGAACAAAAACATTTGTTTAATCGTAATTTTCAAAATTTATTTGATCATTATAAACATTTTTATGGGGAAGAAAACCAACAACAAAGCTCTTCAAGTTGTGAATTTGGGTTCTAGTTTTTCTAGTGGTCATCGCCAAAGTGGAAAAGAGTTGATGACTAATTTAATGAACGAGGTTTTAAATGAATCAGGTAAAAAAAGTAGATTTGATAACAATATGAGTGAACTAAATATGTATGTGCATACTAACTTTATGGCCGCATGCCCCGCAAATGATGTTGAAGATTTTGAAAAAATTGATCTATTAGATTTTTGAAAACAAAAGCAACCTCAATTCTCGGTTTTGGCATGCATGGCACGTGATATACTAACAATCCAAGCTAGTACTGTAGCTTCGGAGCCTGCCTTTTCTCTTAGTGGCAGGATCATTTCGATACGTCGGACAAGACTAAGCCCGGAGTCCGTGGAGTGTTGCATCTGTTTGAAGGATTACTTGGATAGCGTTGATATAATTCAACATACAACATCGTTAGAGATGGAGATTGAAGCGGTGGAAGAAAATTTGGAAGAAAATGAAATCGCCATGGGACTGAGCTTACCACCAAGTATCGATATCGATGACACTTACTCACAATTTTACGATACGAGGAACTTGACATTGATGACCTTGATGACCAAGAGGCTATTAGAAGTATTCAAGAGACCGGAACTCTTCAAATCAATCCGACATGGGATACCGATGATGATTGATGAATAAATGTATTTTAATAATTTTATAAAGTATTTTTGGAAGACAATGTAATTTTAATTATAATAAAAAGCATCCTTAAAGTGTATTTGAATAACCCAATTATAAATTTTATAATGTACTAAAAAATCTATAATTAAGAAAACTAATTTTTTTTAATGGTCAGGACCAGCTCACCATAACCGGTTATACTTCACCTTAACCGGGCTCTACATTTTCGATCGGGACCGGTTATGAACGGCAATGTTGAGGCCTAGGACCAGTTTTTGGCCATCACTGTAGGCATGGGAATGGCCCCGTGACCCGTCTGGGAACCTGGTCCATCCGTCACGATCGGAGACGAGGATTCCTCGCTATAGCACTGATAGGGACGGGGATGGGGATCTCCGTTTGTCTCAAACCGGAGATGGAGCCAAGGAAGGGTATCACACCCCTCGTCCCAACCATACCAATTATATATTAATTAATAAATTAAATATATATTATTTATTTCAACTAGATCGGTAGTTTCCTATTTCCTAACTAGTTTTAGAATCTAATTTTTTTATGTTAGTAAGTAATATTTCGGATGTCAAGTCAAAATACAATTACTCGATATGTTTTAGATATTACTCGATTTGGTTTAAAATATTATTCGATATGTTATGGTACGTGCGAGGTTAAGTTTTTTGGATTAAATTGAATTTCTTTTAGTTTTAGGTTATTTATTATATAATGTTGTGATTTTGCGTATTCAATTAAATTCCTTTCAATTTTAGGTTTATTA